CCCCAAAACCCCAAAACCCCAAAACCCCTCAAGTTAGAAATATTATTTAAAATAAATGCAATCTACAAAAGGTACAGATAACACCCAAGAACAACTTATCTCTCCGATTCTTACACTTTTGGAAAAGAAGGGTGTTGACAAGCCTTTTCTTAGCAAATTAAGACAGAATAATTATTTTGTTGAATTCTTAATGAATGGAGAGAGATTATGACAAGAAGGAGACTGTAATAGAATTTATCAGCCATTTTCAAATAAGATTTTATGGTTACTGAGCCAAAATTTTGCAAGGAGTGAGTTACTCATGCAAATGAAGAAGGAGAGCTTCAAGTGCATAGAGGTTACAGTTGAACTGGAGATCAAAAATTTTAATTCAGCTCTTATTGAAAATGTGAAGAACAAATATAATTTACTTTATTCTCTTCGAAGCTCCCTGACAAGATTAGAGTTTGACATGTATAATAAAAGGATTCTCTTATTTTTAAAGTCTCTTCGAAAACATAAATTTCCAAGCGTTTCTACTGTGGACATTTCCTTTATCGAAGATTCTCGCCCGACACTGAACCTGATGACTCATTCTTTCCCATCCAAAGTAAAAGAACTGGCTTGCACTGGATGTGAATTTAATTCAGATAAAATTCAAAAAATAACCATAGGAAGATATTTCCCAGAACTCATCAGAATCTTGCCAAGAGTTACAGAAATAGTTTATTTATACTATTTCAAGATTTCTGAAAGACAACTTAGGAAGATTTATTCTTCTTGCAGAGACAAACTTTGACTCCAGTTGTGAGCCTGAGTTCTTAATCTCAAGTCTGTTCCTGATATGTCAAAACCTCTATTTGGATGCACCCTTGAAACTCTCAGTTTCCATGACTGAGGAAGATCTGGATTTAGCAACTGGGCAGAAAACTTAGATGAATTTGAAAACTTAATCCATGGCCTTTCCAAGTCTGAAGATCTCAGAAAAACTCTTAAAAAACTTGACCTCAGAGATTCATTTGTTTCATTTGAAGAAACTGAGAGAATCCTGGAAAAATTTGGAATCAATTCAGACATCGTGATCCAAGGACGTGCTGGGTTTCAATAAATAAAACTATTTACTTACTTTCTGGGGTTTTGGGGTTTTGGGGTTTTGGGGTTTTGGGG